CCAGATTCGACGCGCGAGGAGGTTGATTTGCGAGGCAAGGGCATAGCAAGCTAGGACTTTGGCCGGCTTGAGGTGAGTAGTGGTTATAAACGATGTCCGGAGGGTTTGAAACCCCGGATTTGCACAACGTAGTGCTATGTTGAGGTGAGACACACGCTGCATGTCGAGCGTGGGGTCCATTACTGCTGGGGCTTTGGACTTGGTCCATCCCGATTGATGATTCTACTGTATTTTTGACGGAGGCTTAACTAATATCATTATAGTTTGGGCTAGTTGCCAAGTTTGGGGCCTTGTGCCGACCTGTAGAACCCGTAGGGGCATTTGTACTGATTGACCTCACTTTACTTGTTAAAAATCACACCCTCAGTCATGTTTCTAACTGTTTAATAAAATATGAACTGGCTTTGAAATGGCTAAACCAAAATGAGAGTAATATGAGGGCTGGAATCCCTATCTTATCTTAGTATGCCCGAGGGGCGAAGTTTATATTGACTGAGAGGGGTTGAGAACCCAATAGTGAGGATGACTGATATGTTATGTGGATCGGGCTGCACGCCGCAGTAGTATACTTATATGGATCGGGCTGCACGCTGTAGCAGTATACTTATATGGATCGGGCTGCACGCCGCAGCAGTATAGCGCTTGGGCTGTAGGAGCCCCTCCGGAGTCTGCACACCCCCAGTGAGCGCAGTCGACTATTATTGTTGGATCGGGCTGCACGCCGCAGCAGTATATATATATTATGGATCGGGCTGCACGCCGCAGCAGTATATTTATACGGATCGGGCTGCACGCCGCAGCGGTATACTATGATTTCGGTTATTGTGAGAAAAAAATGAGTTGGGTACTGGCTTAAAGGATTTTTCCTGGCTTCTTCATTTAGTTGCTGTTTAAATGTTCTTACCGCTTGATATAGAACTGCTTAGTGCTCTTTACGAGATTTCTTTCCATCAGTCATTATTTATTGCTATTACTCACTGAGTCGGAGTACTCGCATTACTCCCTGAACCATATGGGCAGATACAGGTATTACGAAGGCGTAGATTGAGCTGTCTCTGCTGTTTAGATCTCACCGGAGTCATCGAGGTAGCTGCATGGCGTCCGCAGACTCGATTTCTCCCTCTATCCTCTTTACTTTCAGTATTTTAGACTATGTTTTGTTTAGGCTGTTTCTCAGACTTGTATTAGAGGCTCTTGACTCGTGACACCGGATCGGTGGGCTTGTAGTGATGTTATTACGTTCTTTCCGCGCATTGTATCCACTGTTTCAGACTTCTGTTTTATGTTAATTTGGTATTTGAACCCTGTTAATTGGTAACGAACTCTATGTGAGGGATTGAGAGTGCTGAAATGGTCGGGCTTGCCTAGCATTGTGTTGGGCGCCATCACAACCGGGGTTTGGGTCGTGACACCCAATGACCATTTAGCTGATGCATAATAGCTAAATTTGACATTATCTCGCGGAATTCAATACAATTCTGGATAATTGTTTGCAATGTTTTTTCAAAACCTTCGCTTATGATTTTGAAACCAGAGGAGACAGAGAAAACCAGAGAATAGAACTTGATTGTGCGATGATAATCACAGAAAATCGGCGTAATAGCAAGCTTAACTAAATTGCGATGATTGTGTCAGTAAGATCTCCGAAGAATCCTCCGTGATCCCAAATTCCCGCGTCAAAAAAAGTAAGGCTACTGCAGAAAGGATTCTAGTTTAAATCAATGTATATATTTTGTAGACAAAATTTGTTTAAGTCTGGTAATTAACTAAACATGGATATTTTTGGTAATAAAGTTTTCAATAGTGTATAGGTATGTAAAAATTTCAATTTTAATCATGTGTATTGTTTTCTTATAAATTGCTTAATTATCAAATAATATTTTTTTCTTTTGTTATAGTCATATATAACCTATCAAACAAAAAGAAAGTTATTTTAAAAATATTTTAACAAAGTTACTCTTAGAATAATTTGGGCTAAAATCAACCAAACTTTAGATGAACTGAAAGGGATTGGGTAAAGATGCAACTGAATTCAATAAATGGGCGGATTAATGACCAGCCCAATCTTGGAAAAGTTGGGCTTGGGCCGGTCAAATGAATTTGGGCTCAAATTGCCACCTCTAGTTCATATATACACTCCACAGTCTTATCTTAGCAATGAACTAAGAAATAGCCTCTAGTTTGTTGTTATTGATATTGTGGGAGAAATTAAAAAATAGCCAGATTTACAACTGGTCGTTCAAAAATAGCCCAGTTTCAAAAGTAATCAAAATTTAGCCACTTTTCATGTAAAGATAAATCTGAGCGAAAACACTGTTCAAAACCCGGAAAAATACGCCAGTATATTATGCTGGAGTTCCAGCATAACTATACTTGAACTCCAGCATATTATACTGGAGTTCCAAGATAAGTATGCTGGAACTCCATCATAATATGATGGAGTTCCAGCATAAGTACACTAGAACTCCAGCATAATATACTGGAGTTCCAGCAAGTATACCGGTCCAGCATAATATACTGGAGTTTGGAGCATCGGTGCTCCAGTCTCCAGTATATTATACTGGAGCCAGCGAAGTATACCGGTCCAGCATAATATGCTGGAGTTCATACATAGGTGCACCGAACTCCAGTATATTATGCTGGACCGGTCTCTGCTGCAGCAAAATAGTAGCTATTTTTCATTGACTTGGTAAACGGTGGCTATTTTTGAATGACCAGTCTGAAAATTGGCTATACCGTGCTATTTTGACTGTTATTATTCTTTAGTAAATAGGACTGGATAATAAAATATCAAAGCATTAGCCTGTGAGTTTATTAAGCATCTTGAGTTCCAAAGGCATTTTTACTACACTTTTGGTCATTTACTGCGAAATTGGAAATTCATGTACAAACAAGACGAATAGGACTACTTCTCGGGTGAAATTCAAAAATAGCCAGATTTACAAGTGGTAATTGAAAAATAGCCACAGTTTCAAAAGTAATCGAGATTTAGCCATTTTTCATGTAAAGATAAATTTGAACGAAAACACTGTTCAAAATCCGAAAAATATTCCAGCATAATATACTCCAGTTTAGCATAATATATTAGAGTTCCAACATAATATACTGGTCCAGCATATTATACTGGAAGTTCATACACAGGTGCTCAATCTCCAGTATATTATGTTGGAACTTTCCGTGTGTTTGAGTTCCAGCATAATATGCTGGAAGTTCATACACAGATGTACTAATCTCCAGTATATTATGCTGGAACTTTCCGTGTTGCACCAAAATAGTGACTATTTGTCAATGACTTTGCATACGCTGGCTATTTTCAATTACCAATCCAAAAACTGGCTAACCCGTGCTATTTTCACATACTTCTCCTATGTGTACGGAACTACGTGTTGGACCATTTTTGGAATAACGGGACTAGAACTATTTGTTGGACTATCTTTTATATTTTATGGAAAATTACATGGCACATCAAATATTTACACGGTATTTACCATTCAATGCTATACTTTCAGCAAATTTATCATTCGTAGCTATAATTAAATTTTATAGCAAATTCATGAAACAAGATAGCAACAAGCTCTCAACGCTCAGTTTGTTAGAGGCTTAGTTAGCGGAGGTCTTGGGATCGACTCTCAACAAGAGCATTTTCTTTCTCTATTTCTCTATTTCGCCTCAGTTGTATTCATTGTGCAAATTAATACAATCGATACATGTATCCTTTGTATATATCCCTGTATACAGTCAACACAAGTTGTATCCTTTGTATACACTCTTGTATTTCGCCTTGATTACAGTTGATACATGTTGTATTCATCGCGCGAATGAATATAATTGCGCGAATGAATATGTTGATACATGTTGTATTCATTGCGCGGACGAATACAGTGAGCACAAGCTTTACTCGTTGCGTGTTTGAATACAAGTGATGCAAGCTAGTAACAACTGAACAATAGTTACGAATAATAATTAGACAAACAATAATATTAGGCTCTAAACTATAGTGTTTTATGAAAATTTATCATCTTTTATATATAATGGGCTTCCCCCTTGGGGAAGAATTAACCTGAATAGTCGGCCATTCAAGTGCTTAAACTAAAAATAACCGATGGATATATAATATATGTATAATTCATGTATAATATATGAATAAACGTGTATAATTAGCGTATAATTTATGTATACCGGCTAGAAAATATAAAAAGTAAATCCGAATGGCTATTTTGTATAAAGATCCCACTACTAGATAGGATACTTTCCCAGCAGTTTGATTTAAGTGGCCCAAAGATTGAAACCCCAAAAAATATTTAATACTCTATTTCAGACTGTTGCTTTCACCTATTCAAGAAAAAAAAGAATATCAATGTACTTTTAGAATGGATGTTGGCTCTCAGAAGGAGTAGTTTGAGAAAAAGATCCTGTAGTGCTTCCCTAAGAAATGATTATTGACATTAATGAGTGAGAGGTGGAGTGAACAACACCACCAACAATAACAAACCCAGATTACTTCCATAAGTAGGGTTTGGAGAGGGTAGTATGTACGCACACTTTACCCATATCCTAAAAAGATAGAGAGGCTGTTTCCGAAGAGATAGACTGAAAGAATTCAAATAAAATAAAATGGTTCTTGATATTAATGAGTGAGAGGTGGACTGAAACAACAACAAACTCAGTTTAATCTCATAAGTGAGGTCTATGAAGAGTAGTGTGTACGCAGACATTACCCCTATCCTATAAAGGTAGAGAGGCTGTTTCTGAAGAGGTGGACCGAAAGAATTCAAAAAAAAATAAAATAAAGAAAGATTATGGCGTTGATTGGGGAAGAAAGAAATAGTAAAGGAAAAAGAATAAGCATGAGCTAGAAAAAATGGAACATAAGTTACCAACTTTACATTTCCTGCATAGAACAGGAAAATAACCGCATAATAACAAGATGGAAGAAAACTCATGCAACACACAAATATTGACAATCAAAAGATTTAATTTACAACATAAGGCAGAAGTTATCAAGCATTTGTAGCGGGAACCCTGACACGCTTCTTTTTCTTCTTGTATAAACAAAAGAGAGCAATAGCAAAGGCTAGGAAGAAGAGACCGCCAATTGATACGCCTACGGCTAAGATTGTTGTTGTGTTTTTTCCCCCTCCCCCTGGCGGAGGAGGAGCAACGTTAATACTATTACTTGATGGTGGAGGAGGAAAAGTACTCGACGGAATAGTCGGTGTGGGAAGTGGTGTTAATGCTGGAGATGGAGAGAGTGAAGGAACTTTACCACCTTCTGAAGGTAGTGATGAAGGTGCTAACCTTGGTGATGATTGTGACTTTTGTGGGGCCATATAAGATGGTGTTCTTGGTGAAGAAGCTGGAGATTGCGAGGCATTTGGTGGTGAATAAGTTGGTGAAAGTGGAATCTTGGATTTGTTTGGTGATGGTGAACTCGGAGTCTGTGGTGGTGAAAGAGGACTCTTGGAATTGTTTGGTGGTGAGGGCGGAGTTTGTGGTGGTGAAGGAGGAGGATTCTTGGAATTGTTTGGTGGTGAACTCGGAGTTTGTGGCGGAGGAGATGTTGGTGTTGGGAATGTTGGCGGAGGTGTTGTGGGAATCGCCGCCACCGGAGGTGGTGGTTTTGGATCATTAGACGGTAGAGTTGGTGGAGGTGGAGAACAATAAGTATAAGCCATTGCAATGCGCTTACGGGAAGGCATTTTTATTGCAATTATTATAGCTTTGTTTGATTAGGAAAAGAGGCACCTACGTTGAATATTGGACTAATATAACTATGTATAGTGCATTAATATTTACGTATCTTACACAGTTTAAAGTACACTTATAAAGAGGAATTGATTAAAGATAAGCATTTTAATGTTTGTTATAAGTTGTAACCTATTGCGTTGAGTTTTACAATTCTAGAATAGTTGATAGTATCTTGACTTGCTTTGACATTATTATTCCTGTTAAGGAACGTGGAGTTGGTGTCATGATTATGGAGCAAAGCCAGCTTAAAAACAGTAATATTATGCTAGTGATGCAATTAATTTAAAACACTTGCATTATCCACATGTCTGTTTATTTATAGTCGCTGCACCGAGAGAGAACAAAGTTCGCTTTCTAAATTAAGCTTATATACTACTCCTTCGGTCCATAATAAGTGACTTTTTGGTTTTTAGCACGCTCCTTAAAAAAATACGTACTCCTAAAAAAAATATTCACTAGATTACTCTTAATTAAAATTTACATATTGTTACCTTGACACAATGTGATATGTAAATAAAGACAAAATTTTGAAAAAATAAAATTAATTCTTCCTTGATTATGTAAAAAGACACTTATTTTGGATCAAAATAAAAAGGTAAAAAAATCACTTATGGATCGAATAGAGTAATCAATATGCTTGTTGGTAACGGAATCTAACAAGAAATATAACGAGAACTGAATTGGTCCATATGCCATATTCTCCGATGAGGTAATCCAAGCTGTATTCTTTTGGTCCTCTTTTATTTAAATTGAAAATTTGTTCTCCTTGGATTGGAAGACAATAAACCCAATCAAATGGCCGATGACTTTTTCGCTAAAAAATAAGGCTAAGGAAGTTTCTTAATCTGAAAACATAGAGGGAAAACTCTAATTGCAGGGAAGTTAAGATAGTCTTTTCCTATTAATCATGATTAGTGGGAACCATTAATCCTTCTAGTTGGAATACAACTCAAGATGAAAATTCCAAGAAACTTTTATTTTCTTCCGAGAAATAGATTCTAAATTAAGGTAAGAAATTATGAGAAATATTCTGTTGTAAGTCATTTAATACATTTTTTGTTTTCACCAAAAAATTATGAGAAATATGAAAATAAGAACTTCCGCTTATAAAATTGGTGAAGAATGTCGACTAATCCGTAGAAGAAGAGAAATTATAGTAATTTATTCCGACCTGTTTCTAGTCTACTCTTGTGTGATTCTCGTAGAAGCATATGCTTGGGGGAGGGGGGATGAAGGGGGTGCAGGGCGGACAATTTTAAAGCAATATTTGGACGAAAATGACTCTACTGTTAAGAAACTAAGCTCAAAGTAATAACATAAAACAAGAAAATAGACAAGAGATATAGAGAGAAAGAGAGGAGAGAATCTATTTCTTCCATGTATTCAAGTGTGTACAATGTGATGCCCAAACCCTCTATTTATAGGATGATATAGGTAATACAAAGGGACTCCATAAACATGGTATTAACTATTGAGAACATGGGGGAAGATCATGGAGGTGTGGGAGTTACATCCATAATGGTAAGAAGTAGTGGGTGTTACTCCCTTAGGAGTTATGGACATCCACCATAATCAAGTATTTCATAACACTCCCCCTTGGATGTCCAAAGATAATGTGCCTCGTTAAAACCTTACTAGGAAAAAACCCTATGGGAAAAAAATCCTAGTGAAGGAAAGAGAGTACACATATTTGTAATACGCTTTATTTGCTGCCTCGTTAAAAACCTTGCCAGGAAAACCTAGTGGGATAAAACCTTAGCTAAGGGAAAAAGAGTACAACACATATTTCCCTCCCCCTGATGAAAATTTCATGACGAATTCCAAGCTTGTCTAACAACTTCTCTAATATTGAGATCGGCAATGCCTTGGTGAATTATTCCGCCAAATTATCACTTGAACGAATTTCTTGAACATCTATTTCATCATTCTGTTGAAGATCGTATCTGACAAAGAACTTTGATGAAATATATGATTTATTCAGTCTCCTTCAATATTCTTCTTTCAACTGAGATAAGCAAACATCAGCTTCTTCATTATTATTGGAATCTTCTCTTCAAAGAAAAGTCACACATCTTGTGAAATGATAATATAACAATTCCTCACATACAAATAGATTGTTTGAAGAACGGACTTCAATAAATGCCTGCATTTGCATAAACAACAAAACCTTGACAATATTTGTTAGAATAAACAAATCTATATCAAGGATTCTTTTTGCAATATAATACTAATCATATTTCAATATCTCCATATAGCCTTTATACTCTCAGTTGTTGGGACTATTCGTCCAAACTTCATATTTTTGAGATGAAGGCAATTTTCATTGCATATTTTTTATTTGGCCAATCATTTATCTGTCCAAATTCCATGACAGATTTGAGCTCAAGATCCTTGTCAATATTAATAATATTGAGCGCTACATTATATTAACAACATCGTCGACGATCATTTTACATCGGTTCCATCATCATACAATAAAGACATAACTTATCGAGATCTCATTATTTTCAGGTACCTGAGCCTCTCCCAAGAGCTCTTATGAAGTGTTATGTCATGGTGCTCTTATATAGCACTTGCCTCCTTATTATGACCATCTTGAACATTTGCTCCTCTCCTTCTTCAAGGAGTTTTATCTTTGGAACCGATTAGTCTATTACGCTTCATGCGTGCCATAAACTCTATCCATCATGGACGTTATTCTATTTTGGAGCGATTAGCAGTTGGAATATGACATTTAACTTTGGGTCAGCAATGTGCCTGAAAATATTTTGCAATTGAATTATCACTTGAACTTCAAGTTCATATTTTCTTGTACGAGGATCTAAGTATACTCATGATAATTCATTCCATGTATTACTTTTTTTCAGCTGCTCATTTTCTCCCCTAATGTTGGGATCACCAACACATATCCCCAACCTTCTTTGGGGACCAATCTTATGCATTGGTGGCACAATTAAATCATATAGTACATCCATATTTGTAGATGGAAATATTGGTTCCTGACCCTGAACCAATTGTGATGGGGAGAGTGTATCATAACTTGTTGGCTAGATGCGTACAAGTGTTGTTGTATATTAAATAATACACTTCATACAAAATTTCTATTTGAAGTTTTGTTCTCATAACCAATGGTTTAGCTATAACTGGAGGCAAACAATTTCTACTAAAACCAACATTATCATCCAATTTTACATTCTGGAATTATGCTCTAATAATTTGAGCAAGCAACCTTGCAAAAGCCAAATTGCAAGTTGATAACCAAAGCACATGTGACCATACAATAGATGCATCTATTAAAATCATATAATAGTAAACGGTCCACATGGCAGGTGTGTGTATATATATATATATATATATATATATATATATATATAATATATATATATATATATCACCTTTTATTCGTTCCAAAAATCAGAGAATACAATCCCAACTCCAGCTGGTATAGTAATCATTTATCATGAGAACAAGTCGTACATGAGAATTCTCGAAGAATCTCCTTATTCTTCAATTTCTGCCAATGAAAATTCTCAATCATTTTTCGCATCATAATTAAACCGGGGTGGCCGACCGATCATGCCAACTGATACTTATTTCAATAAACATCTAATTTACTATGGCATGTGATTCTATCATCATGCTTATACATGTGTAGTACACATAGAAGGAAAGTCGGGTAACCTTTCATAATTACCCGGTATGATTATAGTAATATGAAGATATTCAATCTTCATTACATTTATAGTCTCAAATGCCAACCACTTTGGCTATTATACTTAAAACTCAAAAAGTTTCTTTTGAGACTTACTACAATATCAATGTCATGAACAATTTCATTTACCGAGTAGTAACAAATTAGCTCTTTCGGAGCTCTTAATTTATTTTGTACTACAAGACTTTTTTCTCACCATCCATATGGTGAATGTCTCCTTCACGGAGAAAAACATATCATAATTATTGTCATGGTCAAAATCATCATAAGCAAAATTATTTCTTGCTTTAGTTTGCCTTTAACAACTTTTTATAAAGCATGACATTATATTTTTGGCGTACCACATGTACGCGACCAATGAGTTGTGGTATTTATACAACCATGCATAAGCACATTCTTATGCATAATTTGTATCACATGTATATTTTCACATTCACTTTCAGGAATGAGTCTGCATTTGCAATGCTTGTCACAAGTCGCATTCTTTCAAAAATGGACTATAATCATCTGAGCGTACCTCATATTTACAGACTATATTGATAGACAATTCCTTCACCTTTGAAGGATTATTTTGAGAACCCTTATTGTTCTCTTTTTTACATTTACCATAATGATGACTATATTATTTCATCGCTTGCCCATGCCCTCGTACATTCATACAGTCATGACAGATTATTTTCATTAGTCATCATTAGATCATCAATATGGTGCATTGGGACTCAAACCCAATGCCTTACCCATATAAAGGCATGTTACCCATATCATTTCCAACAGTAACCTGCTTGGCATCACCGTGCCGCACTGTGTCCCTAAGGACAAGCAAATGAGGGTCATCATACTGTCGTTCCTTGATGTGCTCAAACAAGAAAGACCGAGCAACTGTACAAGCTAGAACACGATTAGGCTTAGAAACATCTATCCTCACGAACTGATTGGCCAAAGCCTGAACATCTAATGCAAGCGGTCGGTCTCTCCCCGACTAGAATGTACGCAAGGCTGCCCATACTCACTGACTTCCTACTCAAAGCATCGGCCACCTAATTGGCCTTCCCGAGGTGATACAGGATGGTGATATCATAGCCTTTCAATAGCTCCAACCACCTTATCTACCTCAAACTGAGATTATTTTGCTTGAACAATTACTGCAAACTCTGATGATCCGTGAATACCTCACACGACACGCCGTAAAGATAATGCCTCCAAATCTTCAGTGCATGAACAATGGCTGCCATCTCTAAG